AAAAACTCATGCTGCTTGTCAATGTCATGAGAAGTGAGTATTTGTTTTGTTTTCCTAGGTTCAGACTTTAGCTGTCCTAGGTTCAGCCTGTTCAAAGATCAAAGGGAGCGTCGTTGGCTTCAAGACAGTTCTCCCACTGACCTACCGTCGGTGAAGTTTGCATCAACTGAGAGGTTCTGGCCTAAGGACGACTTTCAGTCAGTTTAGTTTATGTCGAAGTTGAAGCTGTTGAATAGACGGACTCAGCATGAATCATTCAGGTCACCCGCAGTGGCAGCAATCAAAGAGCTGGCTTTTCTGGCAATTGGACCTTTGATTTCATGCTTTGAAGGTACAAGTAGGGCAAAGCCAGTGAAGTGTCACTCAAGTCAACAGTCAAGATGCCCTTTGCTTCACCAGGCTTCGGGCAGGAATCTATTCAGTCAGCCCAGTTTGCTTTGTTGTCAGTTATGACCCATGTGCATCACCGACTGGTCCTTGTATTCCAGGCAGGCAGTTCCCTTGTTGTTTTACAAGGTGTTTTCCATTCCAAGGATGAAACCGGAAACTTTAAATTGGAATTGAAATATCACATTTCAGCTCAGTGTTGCTTGTTGTTCTTGTGGGGGCAGCGTAGATTGCTGTGCGTAAGGCATAGTGGCTAGTACCTGTATGCTTGCCATTTGATTCAATTAAACAAACTGGCAGGTGTGGCCTTTACGGCTGGTGTCAATCCTCGACACCACACTGACACACGAAAAACGGAAAGAGATCGCACAGTCGTTCTGCACGTCTGATCGCTGCTGTTTGGACACACATTTCAGTGCCCGGCTTCAACAACACATGCAGGCAGGCTTTCAAAATGAAAACATATTCTCGAATTACTTCTGTTTCAGTTTCCGCCTCAAGCCATGAACCAGGCGAAGAATCTTACCGCAGATTCCTTGCTCGACGGAGGGTGCCTTCATGATGTGGCGAGCCACCCAGAGTCATGACTTTCTACTTCCTACTGACAAAACATAGGGTGAGAGCCAACAAGGTCAGAACCTATGCGCTACGGAAGCTGACAAACATAGAGGTGGAGTGTAATTTCAGCCGGGCATGTTCCCAAAGAATGCTGGGCTCTCAGCCTGTAGTCAAATCATCTTGGAATGCGTATTTATCTTTGTATATGTATATATGTTTTTCACATAATTAGACTCGAACTGTGCTTAAAAGCGTGGTTTAATCATGAATGAATGTGCATACTGTACAATTGTATATATACATTAAATCTATAAATGTATATATAGATGGATGGCCCGCGAATTGAGGGTGACACGTGGACGTTCTGCTGGCATTGATTCATTAGCCGAAATCCCAGCAGTTGCGTGCAGCAAGTTCCAAATTCAACTGTCAACGATGCTCAATTGTTACCACACGTTAGTTTTGATTCCAAAAGTTTTGATGTCCAACTCGGTCGATCAAGAATGAATGAGCTTGAATGAGGCTAGCAAGTTCATCTTGAGTGAGATCCAAAAGGACCATCAGCAACGGCGCTTAGAAGGCAACGAATCATGAACCGCTCATTCGAAGTGGCTGCAACACACCCCAGTGTTTTTCTGGGTTTGTTAGTTGGCAGGCTTCCTCGCCGCTGCAAAGAAGCAGGAATCAGTAGAGACCCCCAAAATCTACAACGGCTTCACGCTCTATGTCAAGGAATGCTTGAGCAATCGTGTTGGCACCTTATTGACCGTTTTTAGGTAAAGGCGTAAAGGCGGTGAAGGAGTCGGTAATTGAAAGAATTGCAACACATCACATTGCGTTGAGTCCTTGGTTCATCTATATCTTATATGTTATACGCTGATACTTGCTACATGTCTCTACTGGGCGCAGTGCAGCCAGGTTGTTCTTCCTGGTGAAACTGCAGAGTCTTCTCGCAAGCGGGTATGGGACGAGGCTGTCTTCGCATGGAACTCAGGGCATTGCAACAAGGAGGACCGATACAACTTGCTCAAGGCTTTAGTTAAGTTAAGGCTAGGTAAACAACAGGACATCAAGACACATAACAACAACTCATACTATATTGCTTGGATGAAGACACGCATCTTTCTGAAGAAATGTTTTCTGATCAATGATAGATTAATCGGAGACTCCTCACTGTCACTGTTTGCTTGTACTGTATATTATATATATATGTTTGAGTTTGGTCGTCCTCTGTATATATTATATGGCATTGGTGATATAGAAGGAGATGCGGCGTGAAGCTGTCAAATTCAACAAGCGTTCTCGATCTGGCACTCTGGTAGCCACAAACACTGATGTGGAAGATGCGGAGCTGAATGGTGCGGAGCAAAATGCAGGACACGTTGTCGCTGAGGCTCATTGTTTTTCCGAGGAGCGTTTTTGCCCTTGCTTGGGTAGCTTTGATGCTGAAGACGAGCACTACGCTGTGTCAGAACACTTGATTGAACATGAACGCGAGGCTTCAGAAGGGAACTGGTTGAATGATTGCAGTGCTGATTTCAGTAGATGTCATGGCACCATCGTGGAGGGGCCTTGTGCAACAGCTGAGGAAGAAGACAGTGTAGATACAGGACCAAAGGAATGTCAGTTGTTCCTTGCTCCAGGTATTTGCAGGAAGGACCTCCGTTCTCTTCCAGAAAGATTCCGCCAGCTGGGTGAGCACATGAAGAATCTGTTGCGTTGGTCCAGAGGCATTAGGCGTTCTCAGGGGTATGTCGCCCACCACATTCTAGTCTTGTGGTGTGAGCATGACGATTCAAATAACCTTTCCATCAAGGATGTCATGCTTTTGACAAGGGTGTCCTACAGCCCATTTGATGCAACTGCTTTGCAATTTGTCATGACTGGAGAGAAGACTGCTAAAATCTCTGTGGACGCTTCCTCCTGCCCCAAGTTCATTCCCCTGGCATCGTTGCTGGTCGAAATGTCCAGGAAAACTTGGGAACTGAAGACAGCTACATACCAGGCCCTGTCTCTCTCAGAGATCCAGATTGATGTTGGTAGTGTCAAAGCAGCAGGGGACATCAATGTCAAACCTGTCGATGAAGGTGCTTCCGATTCCGATGGGAGTGATAGTGAAGATTGTGAACTTGAAAAGGGTTTTGCCTTCATCAAGAATGTTATCGAGGCACCGCATTCCAAAACAAAAAAGATGTCGAGGAAGAACGTCGGTCAACGCACTGAGAGAAAAAAAACACTAGCAGTGGAGTCTGGCTTTCTTGACATGAAGACGACCCGGAAAACCAAAAAGTCCACCCCGGAACAGTTGGGCGTTGCAGGGGAGATTGACCAAACGATTGCTTCTGAATGGCTGAACGCACTTGAATCCGAGCTTGGTCCAGCACCAGCACCGTGTAAAAGGCAGGATCCTGGTTCAGGCGGTTCAGGGAGCGTCCCACAAGTCCCAGCTGTTTCATCATCGTCGTCATCGAGGCCCAGTGTACCGATTGTGAGCAGGGTTTATCCTTGGCGAGATGACAATGGCTACTGCTGGAAGTATTCAGAGAATAGCGGAAAAGCCAAGCATCTAGGACTGGGGGTTTTCACTTGTTCTCACTCACTGAAAGAATGGATACTCACATTTGACGGTTCATGCCACATGTTGTTGTGTCAAATAGAACGTGAAGGACGCATTACTGAGATCAAACAGGGTCAGCCTGGTCACGCTGTCTCTATTCGTTGCAGTCAGATGCTTAGCAAAGACCGGTCGGTGAGCTGGAACGATGTATAATATATATATATATATTATATGACTATCTATATATATATATATTATTAATTATATATAATATATCTGTGACGCTGACACTGTCGTACTGTTTGGTTTCAGGCAATCACAGCAACTGCTGTCAGCTAGTTGGAGTAAAGCGATTGCCGATGGACTCAGAGCCACGTTTGCTTGAATGGCTTGCTGGCGGAGATCGTTTCCCTTCTCGAGAGCAGGCATCTGAGCACAAAGCACAGTGCCTTTGTAGCATGAGTGCTGTCAGTGTAACCTACCGTAAATGTTTGTAGTGTCATAATTGGCACTTGGGTCAGTAATCATCCACCCGTTCATCCTAGGTTCAAACACATTGTGGGGATCTGATTTGTGGCTGGCTGTGCTATTGAGATGTGTGATTCAGGGAGTGTGTGAAATAATGGAGCGGTGTGCCACATGTTTTGCTCTGTATGCTGACACGCACTGACAGTGTTTGTGTTCGGCTTTCGCAGTCAAGAGTCGAGAGTCAAGACAAGTGTTTCTGGAAGGAGTAGTTCACTGCAACAAGTTGATTTGATTGGAAAGCCGTTTTGGTTTCTGTGTGAGTGAGTTTCTAGCCGCGGTAATTGAACGCTGACAAGCCAATGGTGGCCCATTCTAAGCTTTCGGGCGCTGCTTCATCGCATGAGGGGAGGTCGACTGTGGGTGTGTCAGAACCTCCGCCTCCACCAGAGGGAATCGAATACCCTCCCAACTTCCGCTTCAAGAGGTGTCTCCGCTGCGGGTTTTGGAACAGTTCCCCTGCACCCTACGACTTGGCGTGCAGTCCAGAGTACAAGTGGAAATCTGTACTTCCATGGGAGCAGGGTAGCATCTTGAACCCGCTTGGAGCTCACTGCCTTCTTTGTCGGAAGGCCGGATGACAAATAGTTAAGTCGCCGGGCAGGAAACATAGTGAATGAACATATGTTATTCAAAGGGCATGAATGAAGCCAATAAAGGGTCACATAAAGGGTCACTGTACCGAATGCTCCATACCATGTACCATGTGCCATATACCATGTGCCTTTTCCCATGTACCATGCACCACGTACCTGTACCACGTACCCGCACCACGTACCTGTACCATGTACCCGTACCATGTACCATGTACACGTACGTGGTGCGGGTACGTGGTGCGGGTATGTGGTGCATGGTACGTGTACCTGGGACATATGTGGTGCTGTGGGGCATGGGGACCAATTTGTGGAACACAAACCCTGGAAAGGTGGCAGAACATGGAGGATGGCTTGTGCAGTATGGCACCGTTAAAGCTATGGACAAGGCACTGGATAACGACCCGACCAGCAACCACACTTTCTTGAAGCAGAGGGAAAGCTTGGTTGAGAGAAAACGGGAGGATCCAAAAAGCCGCATCACTTCTTCAGCAAATCCGTTTGGGCTGAATGGCGAGAGTGTTAGCGTGGCTGAGCGGAGGACACAGGGGCTGAAGGGTCCAAAAAAACAATTCATTGATGCTACGGCCTACGAGAAGCGATTTGGGATGCCACCGCCACCTGACAAGGTGAAGACACAATGGTTTGGGGGTGCCTTGATCACCGGCGTGGATATCATCAAAGATGAGGACATTGCTTTGCTTTTGACTGTGTTTCAGTGGTCAGTGTTGTAGAATGTAATTGCCCAAACGTGTTGAGATAAAATCAAATGATGAGTAGAGTAGAGTGAGAAAACAGGACATCGGGGTCTATGAGTACGTTGATGAGACAGCCACCTCAGTGGAAAGAACCACTTTGTTGTCTACGCCTGAGACCATTTTGAGTGCAGACCAAACAACTACCATTCACACGGCTGCCTTGAAGCAATTTGGCAAATCGGACAACACCGATTGTGTTACTCTGTCGGCTCCTTCCCATGCGTCCAGTTGTGCAGCAACACCAACACCAATGGAATGCGCTGACACTAACGGTGAATGTGCTGAAGGTGAAGATGAAGGTGACGATGATGAGTGCACACTCTTGAGCAACGACCCTTTTGCCAACCTCTTCTGTCGTATGAAATTGGGGCATGAGAAGAAGCGCACAGCTTCGCAAGCTGGTGGTCTTGAACCTCAAGCAAAGACCAAGGCCAGCAAGAACAACAAGGCTGCTGGACCAAAAGGTCCTGGAAAAGGTCCTCGTAAGCGCACTGGTCCCACGAATGACGAGAACGCTGACGACTTCCGTAAACCAGCTCCAGTCCCGTCCAATGAAGACGACAAGCAGCTCATTGCATCCTATGAGGAGCAGTTGTCGAAATTGAGCATTCTTGACCCTCCTTCAGCTGATGACAATGGATTCAACCCATGGGCCAAATCCCGTCAAGCTGAGCTGACTGGATTGAAATCAGGCCCAACTCTTGACTCAAGGTGTTGAATCAATCCAAAAATAGGTCTAGTAGTCTACAACTTGAGAATTGAACTAACTAGAACTAGAAACTAGAAACAACAAACAAGCATTCGCACTTCCCCTGAAAGGCATCCAGCTGAAAAAGAAGTCACTGAATCGCCGCAAGCGAGATTGCGTTGAAGAGCTTACAGCTGCAATGACCCACATTGTGACTGAAATCGACAAAATGTGTGACTTCTTGAAGGCATTGATGATGGGCACCAACCAGGGATGTGGGATCTACGACAAGCTCAGTGCTTATGCAGAGTCAGATGGTCCAGCGCCCTCAGTGCACATGTGGAAACGATGTTTGCGCGCTGTAGCATTTGAGGACAATGTTTGCATGTGTTTGTGTTAAGTTGTTGCTTTATTATTGATTGTAATCATACGTGCCGTGCATAATTGAATGTTGTTTAATAATCAGTGGCTGAAACCACAGGACCTGAAGCTAGCGCAATGGTCAAAGTACTTCACAGAGACTCGTGGACTTTGCTTGGAACGCTTAGGGGAAGACGATGGCAGCGAGTACTTCATTCTTCTCACCAGTCAGTTGATGCAAAGGCTTGTCAAAAACGTGCAGAAGGTGAGCTGGACCAGCTTGGAGTTTCTGGTAGGCTTTGTTGAGGCAATGTCCGCGGCTTCCAACACGGTGTTGACCACGGAGCACGATCGGGAAGCCTTCAAATATGTTCAGGCCATTATCAGCAAAGCTTCTTCGCCAACGCTCGTGAAAGAAGCCGTGCCTGCTTTCAGCAAGTCTAGCTACTTGTTTGAGAACTGGATGGTGCAAGCCTTTAACCTTCAGAACGGGAAGAAGATTCTGTCATTTGCTGAAGAAAACGCTGACAGCAGAGAGTCCCAGTCTCAAACTATTGGAGCGATCTCAGCTGCCTTGACTGATTTGGCCGCCATTGATGCCCAGCGTGACGCAGCCGACATGATCTATGACGAAACGGTCGCAAATAAGATCAAAGCCGCGCATAAGGCCACTCAAGAGAAAGGCAGGGTACTAGTACTAAGAGTTTTCAAAAGATCTCCGGATTGAGTCAAAGATGTGAGTTGATCCATTGGTCGCTTGATCCACTTGTTCAGAATTAAGTTACTTGCTTGTTCAATTTGCTTATGTTACTCTCCTTGATACTTGATACCATTCTCCCGAGTATTTTCACTTTCAGGCACCAAGTCACTCAAGAACGCTGATCGCGAGCAAATGAACAAGCTTTCGAACATGATCCTTCAAACTACTTTCCAGGCAGCCCAGTCATTCATTGAGAGAGAGCTCATGAGTTACTTGAACAAGCTATGTGAATCCGTCTCGAAGAAGCAAGCTATTTGTGGTGATGACCTTCAATTGCTTCACCGAGACTCTTGCATGGTCCATTTGCAGAGCAGTGGCGTTTGCGAAAAGGAACTCCCTGTGATCAGTGAGCTTGGCAAGTTTGGAAAGTATGTTGAGGACCTTGCCAAGACTGTGAACAAATCCATTGGGGGAGGGCTTTCGCCAGATGATTCGCAGGCTGCCTTGGTTGAGTGGAATGAAAAGAAACGGTCACTGTTGGCCGTCGTGGAGAGCACCAAGAACCTTCGGAGACAGGTGTTTGATGAGTTGAACACAACAGCAGATCAGCTGAGCACTGTCTTGACAAGTGCCTTGCAATCCTGTGTGAATACACAGGCTGTGGACGCTGCCAAGGTGTGTGCACAGCTTCTTGAGAGCCAGCTGGCTCCGGGCCACCACATCACGGAAGAGAAGTTAGCTGAGTGTGAAAAACATGTGGAACAAGCCAAAATGCTCAGCTCCGTTTTGGGAGAGAATGGTGCACTTTTGCGCAAGGGGTTGGCCATCATGCAGGCTGCCATCATTTGCAAGTTTGGGTTTGAACAACATATCCACTATATTGGGGACATGGATACATCATCCCGTGAGAAATGTCGAGCATCAGAGCTGAAGGGCATCAAACATTTGAGACCGCTGCTGAAAGATGGTGAAACAGACAAGCTGAGGAATGAGCTTTGTGCATGCCTCAAACTCATGAACTACACGCCCATGAAAGACGGTACTATGCTTGAGGAGTTGAGTCAGGCTGTGGTCGACCTGATGAAGAAGCTTTGGGAAGACACAAAGGCTTTCATTGAGGCACGAAGCAACGAGTTTGCTGAGAAACACAAAGAGCTTTCTGGTACCGCATCTGTTCTTGTGTTGCCGGATGAAATCACTACCATTTCCGATGCACAGCATCTGCCAAAGATGCAGCCGGAAGTCCCGAAGATCTTTTCCAATGAGGCAACAACTGGAGCTGCTGCTTGCTGTAAATCCATTGAGGAACACATGCTCAATCTCGAGCTTCTTGCTCAGAACATGGATTGCCCCTCCCAGGAGATTTTTGACATCGGCAAATTCACGGCTATCAGGCAGCAAACCCTCGAGTGGCTGTGCCTTGGATTTGGAGTTTTAGAAGAGTATATATTTATCATTCATCAAAGAACATTGAATACCATTGTATGAATACCATTGTACTGTCAGGGGATAGCTTGTGCATGGATTGAAACTCCTGAGTGCTGTGTGATGTGATGCCACTGTGCAGGGCTACGGGGCATCTACTGAGTTGTCTTTGCTCGAAGGCTGTGGTGCGAAGTGTGCTCGCCAGCAGTGCTTTGGGAGAGAAGTCTGCGAAGCACATTAGCAATGCATTATCCGTCGCGACTGAGAAGAGCCTTGAAATCCCGGCAGGACTCCAAGCTCTTGCCACTAAACTTGCTAAGCCGAAATCAAGCTAGGCAGTGGCGGTGGCGATGTAGAGCTGATATTTTAAAAAGGTCCAGCAATTTGGATCAATGGTGTGAAGCAGGTGCAAACAAATGATTGCACAGATTGCACACTTTGTTTAGAGTGCTCCATTCGTAGTGAAACTAGAATAGGAGAACCTCTCTTGGGGCAGTAAGTTGTTGGTAATTTGTCATTTGAGATTCACTGTATTTTTAAGTAAACTATCCTGACTATACTTTACTTTACTATACTATATACTATATATACGTTTTTGTGTTGGTGCCGGTGTATAGTGTATATAGGGAATCTGAGTCATTGTCCAGCCTGTCTGTTGATGTCAGAACTGTTAGAGAGTCGCTGAATTCCTCGAGAGAGACCTGAACGTACAGCGCAAGCACAAGGCTTGAGCCTTCGACTTAGACTTAGACATAGTCTGGAAATACCATGGGCTTGGGTTGCAGCCTACGGTTGAAAGATCAGACAGCCAGACACTGGGAGAACAAATCAATGCAGCACGTCAGTTCGATTTTGCTTTGAATTTCTACGGCAGTCTGTGCAGAGTCAAGAGAAGATTCAAGAAGTTGTTATCTTATATATAATATATACTTAGTTCAAGTTGAATCAATTTGGCGCCGGCATAGACTTTGTCTTGGCACAGACCCAATCGTCCTGCAGCCTTGCGGTGTAAGATCGCAATGGGGAAGCCCAAGGCTCCTAAAGCATCGCCAAAGCCAAAGGCAGTGGCTAAGGCTAAGGTGAAGAGTCAGCCAGGGCCAAAACCAAAGGCCAAATCCACCGCTGCTAAGAGCAAGGCCAAACCCAATGAACTTGAACCATCAACGCCATCTTCAAGCAAGACCGCTTGGTTTGTGCCTCCATCGCCGAGTCAAACGCTTTCGCCGAACTCCTCTAGCAAAGCAGCTTCTTTTCACCGACGGGAGAATTCCAAGCCAGTTGCTGATTTGCCAATCAATGCAAATGGTGTGAAATTTTGGAGTAGTTATCTCAAGGTTGAGGAAGTTGAGAACTCGAGCTGCAAAAGTATGTCTTCTGGTCACACTGGCACTGTCGATGCTGGTGTCAGCAACGCAGAAGAGAAGGCCGTTTGTAGTATGTAGTCGGAGTCGGAGTCATAGTCTGACCACTGTGATTTTCTTCCAATCTGTTAACTGTTCACTTTCAATGTGTTCCAGGACTGCTGTCACAGTTACAAGTTCATGGGTCAAAAGTTCAAAGAACATTTGAATCTGGATGATACAGATACAGCTTGTGTGCAGGCCGGAGACACCGATGCTCAGCCTACTCAACCTACTCAACCCGAGAGTGAGAATCATGCGAAAGTGGACGATGAGAATGAAACCAAGCATGGCACAACAAGCATGGTGTTGGCTCCTGAACCTCCTCAACGTGAGATTGATGGTGGTGCCGGTGCTCAACCTCCTGAAGCTCGTCAACATGAGACAGATGGTGATAATGATGACAAGCCCGAGTTGGACGATGCTGAAATGAATGCAATTGAGTTTGCTGTGGCAGAAGTGTTGGACAATCCAGGACAGGACTATTTTAAACCTTCATTAACATAGATTTGACTGACTTAGATCATGAGCAGCGATTAAAATCTAACCCAACTGAATTGAACCAATATCGGGATTCGGGATCATTTTGCGAACTAGCTCCAGGACATCCCGGGGTGATTGAACATCCAACTGCTGCAGAACAGACGGCTGATGAATCGCGCAAGACTGCGCCAGAAGATGCTACTTCTAGTTCCAATGATGGTGGTGAGCCACAGAAACGACAGGAAACTGCTTCAGTTGAAGCTGAAGCTCAGCCGGCGCCAGCAAAGGAAGAGGTCACTGACACTGCAGCTGAGAACATGAACACTGCAGCTGACCCCACTGCTGGAGGCCGTGAAGTTAGCCAAGTCAACTCAAATATGAATGTGGAGGTGGACATGGACACATCTCCAACGATGAAGCCAGAACTTCAAGAAGATGAATGCGGAGGCGCAGATGGAGATGATGGACATGTGGGAGAGCCAACTGATGACATGACTGAGGATGAGCACTCCCTCATCGTGCAGTTCTTTAATGACAAGGCCTTAGACCTCAAAGGCAAACAACTCATTATGATCGGACAAGTTACAAGTTACAAGTTACACGTTGAGTTAAAGTGGCTCAGGCTACATGCCTCACGCTAAGGAACAATTGAATCGACTGATCCGTCATTGTGGCGAAGACAACATGGCAGTTACACTTGGCACACTGCCTCCACATATTCGCTTGATGTCAGCCTGCTCTGGGTCAGGAAGCTTTGAGTTGGTCGCTGAATTGATTGCTCAAAACCTCAGTGATCACTTTTGCCGGAATGGCAAACTTGGGTTGCCGATCGAGGCACATTGTCAACTGACATGTTAGCTAGTGACTAATGTCGCTTTACAGTCGCGATTCGCGATTATTAACTAACTTATTGTTATGAGAAGTCAGGAGTCAATTATTGATTGCTGGCAGGTATCAACAGCTTTCCTAAGTGAGATCGTTCAGTGCAAGCAGAAGTTCCTGAAGGAGTTTGTGATTCCTGCTGTTTGCACTGCTGAAGAGGACCCAAACACAATCCCCAATCCCGTAATGAATTGGAAAGGAAGTGAAACAATGATTCGACAATGATGATCAAATTTGGTCAAACTTGTTCAATTCACATGAAGGACCTACCATGTCTATTTGAAGACATTACCAAGCTGGATGACTCTTCATCACGGATGTGTATCATACATCGATGCAAATGTGTCACTTTTCCCAAGTGAGCTTTATGTCAATGTCAAAGTCATGTTGTCTGTCCGCATGCTGCCCACAGATCTCAGGCTTTGCCTGATCCAGACGATTCATGCGTTGATATTTTTGCAGCCGGATTCTCATGCAAGCCTTTTGGGCGGCAATAGCATAACAGCATAACAGTGCTCTACAGAATTTCGCTGTCTACATCTAGTGGCAATCACCATTGACCATGTCTTCTCTTCTTCAATGACTATTTATTCCAGGTCGTTCAGCAAGATGAATGTGAACTTTCAAGAGCTGAAAACAGCCATGTCAGACGGAAAGGCCACTTGTCCACGTTGATCAGCTTTAGACTTTGATAACTATAACAAGCATATTTATAATACATGATTGTACTGGACTATTACAATTGTATATACTCATTATATAAAATTACTATATCATTGAACACCTGAATTGGTGACAAGTGACCAGGAATGTTCTTCTGTGTCTACCTTCCGTGGTGTGGTGACCATTGTAAAGCAGTGCCGCCCACGGATCATTGTGCTTGAGAATGTGGACTCCATCGACAGCGCAACCGGCGAGGTCGAAAATGAAACCAAGAAGGAGCTGGAAGCTCAGAGTGCTTTCTGTCTGACTCTGCATATATATATAGTTTTGGGTATTGACATTGGTTTGGTTTGGAATTTGTAATTCAACTTATCGGCTGATTGACTATGACGGCATGACCGGCCTGGCTGAGGACCAACTTGGACGTCGTTTTGAAGACGCTTGATGGGCTTGGCTATGCATGTCGGGCGGAAAAGCTTAAAGCTTCAGATTTCGGTGTGCCTCAACGGAGAACGAGGTATTACATCATAGGTGTTCGGAATGGCTCTGACTTGGGAGAGCCAGCCCAAAGCTTGGTTGATCGCATGGTGGAGCGGATCCAAATCATGCGGCATGACTGCCCCAGGGATCCTGTCAGGGCCTTTGAGAGCTCTGTTTGTGTTGAAGTGACTGGAAATTGTTTGATGCGGTCGGCAGTGGTTGCACTTCTATAAACTGCTTTACATTTCCTTTTAGAGTCCTTCTTGTCAGGAATCCTTTTTTCTGGACAATTCCGAAGCGTTGGTGCAGGATGAATTGAACCGACGCATCGCCAAATCCAAAAAAACGATGGACGATTGTGGCGATAAGGACAAGGCTGGTTCGGACTCTGCGCGTTGGCCAGAACAGCATAGCGCTTTGGCCGAGAAATGCAACTTGGTACTTGGAACTTGGAACATAAGAGTGGTGGTTCGTATGTATCGTAGCCACTAGCAACTGTAGTCTTGGCATATTCATTTGCCTATTGTTTGCACTCAGATTTCAAAAATATCTATCTATGATGATGTGTGATAACTAATTACCTATCGAAATTTGACTCAACAATTATTGCGCGGCTGTGTGCTATCTTCTACCAAACACCATCACTAAGACGGAGTGAAGTGGCCGCTCAAACCAAGCAAAACACTTGCATCGTCACCATGGTATGACATATTGCCGGCGAGAGAGAAAGAAGCGCCTTGGTACTCAATACTAGAGCCTGGAGAGTCCAAGGAGTCTAAGGTTGAAAGTAGTTGAAAGTAGAAGGTTGATTGAGAGAGTTGAAAGTGAAAGGAATACCCATATGGCCCGTATTTGTATCCATATCCGATACCGTATCTCTTGGCGCCGTTACCCAAGTCAGGTGCTTTGCTTTGTGGAGCTTATGAACCAGAGGGCTACATCCAAGGACGAGAAGATTGCCTTTTGCGACATTTCGCAGAGCGCATCACGACTGCCAACTTCCACCTATGCTTCCAAGGTGCTTTGTGATTCTGATCGTTTTTGTTGGTGTTTGGCAGCTGGTGGTGGACAGGTGTTTTTGTGACAGGTGGTGCCGACTATTTTACCGGGTACGAAACTTTGGTGGGTGGACGGCATGCGCTTGGCACTAGGCCCGGTTCATATCCAAAGCGATTCAGGTTTCATGTTTTTTAGTTTTGGGATTTGATGTGATATGTTATATGTGCTAGATATTTGTTGATGCTTCAACTCTTGAGGCATTGAACTTCTTGGTCTGCAAGGGCTTGATTGGAATATATTTCACAAAGATGTACTGGGTACCATGTCGCAGCATCAAATCGCAGATTTGGCCGGCAATATGTCCGCTTCCTAGATCGAGAATAGGGATTGGAATGTCTATTTGCATGGCGAGTGCAGCTTTTTTTTCAAAGTAAAACTTAGATTCGTTGATCGAGAATCGGGATTGAAACTCGGAACGTAACCCAAACACATTCTTCAGGTTCTCAGTGCCTTGCATCATGGCCGTTACTCTCACGGCTATTGTGACGCTTCGACTTGAGACCGAGAGTGAGGCCGAGGAGATGCAAGCTGTGGATGATTCATTACGCCAATGGTGTAAAACATAGAACTTCAGAACGGATCAAATCGTTGATCCTGACTGGTGCAAAGCATCAGACAAATTACAAACAACATGGGGGGAGCGGTGAAAAGTATGCGCGAGTTCTGACTGTCCGATTACATTTGCTGCCTTTTACCCGTGTCCGCTATTCCTATGCCCATACACGTACCCAAGCCCGTACCACGTACCCGCACCTGTACCCATACCCGTGCCGTACCCGTACTCATACATGTACCCATTTGACTGTACCTGTACCCGTACCGTACCGTACCACCGTACCCAAACACACGCACCGTACCGACCTGCCATATCGCACCCATCCCTGGGTACCCGATAGAGCATTCCTCTTGAAAATAGCTAAATTGTGACTAGTAATCAGCTAGGTAGCACGCAGACGGCCATGTGTCCTGTGGGCTTCGGGACACGTTTCACCTGGTTAGATAAAAAGAACGTTGTAGGGTGTGAGTCGATGCCCATACTTTGAAGACCCGTTCCACATGTAATCAGTGCCGGTGGCCATGTCTCCAGCGTTCGTAAGAAAGTCGTCAGCAGGCGCGCGCAACGTTTAATTGCAGCATTTTGCTTCCAGTGGGACACTGCAAGAACCAGCGCAATGTCCATCTTTGCATTAACGAAATATGTGGGTGAGGGCGATGCAAATTCTTGACACAGGAGTCGCGGTCGAATTCGAGGGAGAGGTCTCGATTACCGCCCTGTGTCGCCGGTACTGGCTAAGTGTAGAGACGCAGCAGAGTCAAGGGCCGGGTAGCCGTTGACGATTGTTGGGGTTGAGAAGGGTAGAGTGAATGAGACATGACCTGCAGGAAGCTGGCATCAATGTGAACGTGCAGAAAGAAGATCAGCTGGTGCTAGTGAAAAGTGGGAAGTTGCAGCTGGCGTCGAAAGACAAGATCTGCGCCACTTTGCGCAAGTCCTTTGAAGTAGAAGAGGCGGGGAAGAAGAACCAGTGAATGTACGTATTTGAAGCAAGGGTGTTGGTGTCTGTGGTGGGTGCAGTGGCCAGGTCTCAGGAGAGCGCGCGGAAGCACTTTTGCAGACGGGCGCCATGAACAGCGTACTTGCATGATCCAGCTGATCAACCCCAAGGGCTTTCTGCGACGACCCGAGGCCAGGTCTCTGGTGACTTCGTGGTTGTGCCTAGATAGCATCGATCGGACGGCGTCACGCATGCGAGTGACAGGTCAGATAGCACAGGCCGTGTAGATAGACAGGCGGCCATGCAGCAGAAGAAGAAGTGGAACTATCGTTGTACGCAAGCTGCGCGCTCATGCAAAGGAGTCTGAGACCGGTGCGCCAAGGCCCAAGAATGCGCAGCTACATCTTTGCATCCCCTTCGCAGACGGTGCGAAAATCAAAGCAGAGATCGTCTGTTCGGAGAGTGGCTTCCAGGACTTCGTGGGCAACGCGGCAGAGCGGGCTACAGTCCGTTGGCTCACGGAGGTTGAGAAAGAGAAGGACATAGAGGCCAGAGTACCTTGGGGGAGTGTCTATCGAGTCCACAGAACTTTGCGTACGGGCTAATTGGTATGGCGGTGGCTGACAGGTACGGCAGCAGACCAAGAAGAGGGTCAACAACATTTTGAGTAATGCTGAGTTCGCGCAGAAGCTGGTGAACGACTATCCTGCAGGTGGAAAGCATGCAAAGAAACGCCGCTTGCTGGCCCAGGCGATGGAAGTGGTGACTTGCGGCAACTTGGCGCATGACGCAGTGCACGGTAACCGCGTGGACGGTGTGGGCGGCGGGGATCCACCGATGGCCGTGGCACTAAGGTACGCGGTCATGATGCCCGTCAAAGTGTTTTGGAGGCCACGTCGTTGTTAAGTGGTGCGTGTGAGCTTTGGAAACCACAGTGCAGTGTAGTGCTGACATCAAGTGGAGCGTGTAGCGAGA